TTGTTTGTAACCATCTAAGTGTGTGCACAGGTCTCGGTGTTAACTGCGATGATTGAAACAGAGGTAGTTTGGTGTCAAACAGGAGGTCTGCAGATGCCCGTCCGGCTGAGAGCTGCAAGGTCCCCCCTTTTGACAAAGTATCTATTCAGAGTCAATGAGCTGGGTCAAAGCCTGCACGTCAGGCTGCAGCTCGGCCTAGCACTGGGGCGGTCCAAGAGGTCAGTCTCATTCACATGGCGCTGTCATGCAAATGAACCCACCCACGCTTAAACAACTCTTGGAATTTTTATGTCTGCTCTATGGCCTTTTTTCCCTCAATTTCTCTCTTTTCTCCTCATTTTCCTCACTCCATCTCTGCCTCTTCTCCTTTCCAAAGCTTTCTCCCCTGTATTCACAAAGTCATTGACCAGACATTCAAAGCTTTTTAAATTGACCAGGGTCATTGTTCCTGGAGTAAAGTAGGAGGGCTGGGGAGATGGAGAGAGGGAAAGTGTAAAGAGGAGTGGACTTAAATATACTCCGCTCTGAAAGTAGTTAGATCATGTTCTTTTCATGGTCCGATTAGAATCAAATCGATCCCCCCGCCCTTCCTGACACTTCGTGTTTTGAAGAGGATCGACCAAACAAAGATTTCCCAGCTCAGACAGGAAGAATGAATGACTGATCCTGAATGCTAAACACGCTCTTAAAAGTGTCATTCTGCAGCGGGACAATAACCGAGAGAGTAAATTTGTTTTTGCTGTGTGAGAGATGCTAGTGCGGACAAAGAAAAGTTATCACTCCTGTACTGATGGGATATCTAATAAATTCTATGATCTACAGCATACAAATAGAAGACAATTTAAGTACATTAAACGTAACCTTGAAAAAAAAAACATGTTTTCCAATTAGAAATGTATGATTTTATATAAATTTCCTGAGTGTGCGTTTCGTACAAAGTAGAGAGGAAAGTGGAAGGAGGTTAGTCTACTTCAGAGAGATGGATGCAAAGGGTAACCAATTGAGGGTTTTGTTCACCCTGAGACCATTTTTGCACCTGCTACTTCAATCTCAAATTCAGTCAAAAGCACTGTAAAGTTTTCAATTTTACCATAAAAAAATAAACTAGTTCTCTAAGAGATCTTTTTCTCGCAATTTCATTCCAAGAAATACATAAAAAACATCAGAATCCTCTGATAAGCATGCGACTAAAAGATCATTTTCTTTTGATTTCTGAGGAATTGAAGAATCTATTTCAATCTTGTTAAAAACCAGATAAAATTATTTTTTTGATCAGCAAAGTAGATAAAAAAAAAACTGTTATGATCAAGTACTAATAATATTGCAGTTACTTGAATAAAATATTAAATAATGTTTTTTTATTTCAGTTTTAACATTACCCATTGTGTCTTTATGATTGGCTGAATAACAAAAGCCTCAAAAAAGACAAACCTCTGAAAAGTTTACAGAGTATACTATAAAAGTATACACATCAATTATTTTTTAAAAACAACTGAACTTAATTTAAAAAATATATATATTTTAACAAAGCAAAAACGATTTTTTTTAATCGTAGTGATTTTAAAATATTTACATAGAAAGGCTTTTTCCTTCGAGTAATAAAGAGGTCAACATTTTTCCTAGTTAAGTCCATTGTTATATAATTAGTTGTATTTGTTGCTGAGATCGCTAAGTCAGTAAGTAGTCTTGTTTTTTTGCAAATTTATAAAAATAAAAGTAGGGTTAGATAGTAAGATAATACGGGTTAGATAGAAGATAATAAATTAATAAATTTGAGTAATATCATAAGGAGGAATTAGAATTTAAGAAAACGTAAAAAAGTAAACATTAACTATTTATTTCCTATTTATCTTTACATATAAGGCTTTCAAACGCTTGAAAAAAATAGCAATTTTTTAGGCGAATAACAGAAAACATAAATGGTTGCCAGCTGAAAAGTTAGAAACAGGAGAAACACTTTCTTTTTAAAGTAAAAGCACATTTAAGCAAGGAGTGTTAACTGATTCCCAGATAGTAAAGGTGAAGAGCAGATTGGAAGGATATTTAAAGAGGGTTTATAAATGTCACTAACAACTGAGTGAATAATGCCTTTACAAATGTAATGCATGAAAATAAATTAAGAATAAACACAGTATGGAGTCAGTATGTCTAAATAAACTATGCAACATTCTGGAAAAACAAGCAAATAAATATGATTATTAACTCATCAAGAAGGATGATTAAAGGTGGTAAAATAAAAGCCAAAAATTGTCGAATTAAAATGTATTTTAGTAGGATCCTGTATATCAGAATCAGAATATAACAAGAAGAACATCAGTAATAATTTTACAATCAGAAGCAAATAGGTTGTACTAGGAAAAAAAATACACAATAAAAAATGTTTTATTTATTTTTTATTTCATTGTTCCTGTTATAAAGTAAAACCTTTCATGGATTGAGGATGATTGTATTAAAAATAATGTTCAGTTCCCAAACCCAAAATATTACCCTTAGGGTTTCCCCAGAGGAGCTGGGCCAAGTGGCTGGGTAGAGGGACTTCTCCCTACTGAAGCTGCTACCCCCACCACCCGGGGGTAAGTCGCGATAAATAATAAACCTATTGGCATTGAAAGTTTACAGTGTTTGGTACACATCGCATTCTGCATATTGTGAAGGACAGCTTTCCTTTCCCATCTATATAAAAACCTGCCCACATTATTTTGCTGAAACATTTTGTAATTCAGACAGTTTGGTTAAAGTTTATGATTTGATGGATTATTAAGGTCTAATTATTAAAACAATTTAGTAAAATAATACAGTTAGAATTATAAAAAGCTTTAATGAAGGAAACTAAAGATTAGGGTGATAACAAAGCTGTCTTTTAATCTCAACAGCGGAATATCAAAGATAAATGTAAACAATATCAGTTGTTATATGCAAGAAGCGAAAAACGATTTGCCCTTTTAATATTAATGAGGAGAAGGAGAAATAACAATTCAGTATTATACCAACATTGCTCTATTATTGCTTTGTCCAATTATCTCTCAGAAACAAACCTCTAGGTCTGATTAGAATGATTTAAAATCTGAAATTGCCAGTGTCATGAACAATTTTGATCTTAACAATCAGTCACCAGTACAGGCCTAATTGTATCTTATTAGGATATTTTATTAAAGGCACACAAACAGCAGTGCATCATTGTAAGGTGAAGTAAAATAATGAAGTGAGCCGTGGGCTTCTGCATCCTTTTAGCCCGGATTCCTTAAACACCTGGCTGGTGGAGGGAGGTCAAAGCAGGGACCTAGGGCAGGTTGAGGCCAGGTGTGGCTCAAAGTTGTGTAGGAGCATGCATATGTAGTTGAGGGGTGTCTCCTCAGAATGATAGATGGGCCAACGAGATTTGCATGTGGATGGGATTATGGCCCATGGCTTAGAATAGTTAGAATGAGTTAAAATAGGATAACAGGATCTTGGGAGGTAGCTAGGAATGTTGGGGTGAACAGCAGAGATCTGGTAGTTGATGCTAGGCCTGTGTCATGCCTACATTTCTGACTGGCCCTGTTGAACTCTGGGTTCTAGGATGCTGGCTGGTGTGGTCACTTCACCTGGCTTGCACAGGTTTTTCGTAGTTGCCTCACTTTGACACACCTTGGTGGTTTTCTATCCTGCCATTGCTTAGTGCAGGTACAAGAGGAAATCCCACTGCAGTAACTGTGCCAGCTGGTCAGGACTTGCAGAGTGGGGGTGGCCTGGGAAGTTGCAATGGGACCATGGAGATAGCCACCTTTTGGCAGGATGTTGTCTGTCTGATTGCTCAAACTGGTTCCAAAAAAGTGAAGTGTGACCAGTTTTTCCTTCCAATCAAAAAGTAGCACACCAGACTCTATTCATCTCATCAAGTCTTCATGTTAACACTGGACTCACTTGATGAGATGACTGGAGTCTGGTGTGCTATTGCTTGGTTTCAAAGTAAACCACTAGCCACACAGCCCTTTCTGGTGCCAGTTTGAAACCCCTGCTTAGAGAAGTCAATTTATTAGTAAACAAGGTGGATATTTGTCTTACATGGTCTCAGAATCAGTACAGTTCCTTTGTGGTAGAGGAAAATCAGAGAACAAAAAGCATCATGAAGACCAAGGAACACAGGGCAAGGAGGGAATTGTTTGCATCGGTTATTAGGTAATCAAACTACAAAATGCTTCAAATGTTATTTTTCAATAATCATTCAATATGTTAAAGAATATGTCACAAAATCAAATCTTTTAAGGCATGGCCATTAAGCTAACTGAAAGACAAGTCAAGGAGAACATTAATCAGAGACAAAGCTGAGGTCTTGGGAAACCTAGGTGCCAAAATTCACAAATCTGTTTGATATATTGAGATTTCTGACCCAAAACACATTGAGTTTGTTAACAACCCTGTAAAACTGATGCTCAAAGATCTTCCTCAAATCAAATCTGAGTGAACTCCAGTTATACTTACTAGCTATACTTAGCTAACATGAGACATACTTAGTAAGTAGTACAGTCATACCCAAAAAGTTTTTCTTTACACAGAATGAAATCTTTGCAGAATGAAATCATGTCCTTTGATTGTACATTTATCATTTGCTACTTTGCAGTGGTCTAACACACAACATACATTTGAATTTGTTGTTGCAAAGTTATAAAATGTGAAGAAAATATTATACTATCACATGACTGGAACAACTTGATGCTGTGTGCTGTTTAGGGGTGTATACGGGAGTGTGAGAAATGTAATCTTTATGTTGTTTGCAATGAAATTTACTTAAAGACAAATCTTTTATTCTTTGGTTGTTTCTATCATCCTAACAGTTATGTCTGCTGCATTACAAGAGCGACCTGACATTAAAGTCTCATGCAAAATTACTGTTTGTGTACTGAATCTCAAGAAGCCAAACAACTCTCGTAAGGTGAAGGGACAGAGGGGTGGGACCACCCTGCAGCTGCCCCTCTTCGCTCCCACCTCATCTCTTCATTCCCTCTCCTATTCATCCCACAGCTGCAGTCCTTTGCCCCTCTCTCTCTCACTCCATCATACAAAGTTTTCCTCTCTCTCTGTTTGTCTAAAAGACACAAAGATGGATGGAGAAGCTCCTGGAATGGGCCGCACAATAGCTTATGCCACAAGGTGAGCAGCCTCAGCTGCATACGGCCCTTTGCTGCCTTTTTTAACTTCAGCTATGCTCCTCTCCTGGTAGGAGAAGAAGTGTGTGAGGAGGAGGTGTGGGGGGAGAGAGTTTGAGCGGCACAGTATGGCAACAGATGCTTTTGTTCGGCCAAAAGTCTGAAAGGGGGCCTTAGGTGGGGGGCTTAGCGGTGTCAGAGCATAGAGTCATTTTTCTCTCCTTTTTCTCTCACTCTGCCTCTCTTTCTCTGCAGCCACCTCTCCCCAGCTGTGGCTGCCGTGGAGACTGAGCAAGAGGAAATGTGAGGGCAACGGCATGATGGAATACGTAAGTCGGGCGCGCGGTTTTGGCCTGTTTTGTGGGCGACTTCATTAAAGGGTCGTTTATCTGGCCTGTGATCCCATTGTCCGAGGCCTTCTTTATCGGCCCCTGGGTGTCAGGGGGGCGTAATTGGCCGATTGGCCATGGTCTGCACATGCTGAGGTGATTTATAAAGCTGTGAATGGACCTGACTTCTCTCAGGGCTGTGCTCTCTCAAACGTATTGGAGATACGGAGCTGCAGCGTAACACTGACCAAACGCAGAAGAAATGTGAAAAGGATGAAACGTCCCCAAAGCTCTTTGTGTGAGTGTGAAATTAGAGGCTTGAATAAAAGGCCTCTGGAATCACTCTTTGCCTTGTCATCTATTTTTTTCTCCACCTTCATAGTCCTTTCGACTTTGTTGTTTCACCTCTTTAGTCTCTCCTTTGCCAGGGAACTCTAGCTCTTCTTTCATGAAGCACTCATTTCTTTCAATGTTTTATCCATGCAATCACAGTTGCAAGCTGTATTTTAGCTTTACTCCAGGAGCACATTATGTTCCAGTCAGTGAAAAATGTAGTGAAAAGGCAAGATAGCTTTACTTGTCAATGTATTTGATAAAAACACAATAAATCATAACTATTGCAACAAAACAGAAAATTTGCTTTATTATTAGTTATTTACAGCAAAGTCAGACATTATAGACATAAATACAATTTTCAGATGTTGTGTTGTTTGATAAAAAATATAGTAGTTTTTTTGCAGGTGGGAGAATTGCATGGCTTTGTGTGGTTCTCTGGTAAGCTGAGCTTGGGTTTTAATGACCTCCTAATTAAAGCAGGCCCTCCTCTCAGTGGGCTGATCATGTAGGCAAGGTCAGGGGTCATTAACAAGGCTGCCGGTGGCCAGAGTTCCTGCCCAATGCTAATTGCCCCTTGCAAAATACACAGTTTATCACAACATGATCTCTCTGGGTAACGTTAACAGTTCATTTGCTTCTCCAAAGGAATTTAATTCTCCATTTTAATCTTTTTTATTTGTTTACTTGTTTAGTTAAGAGTGAGTACTGTAGTGTTTGAGCTGTCAGAGCAAACAAAGACTGGCCTTATCTCTTGAGAACTCCTATATTGTTCTTGAACAAACCCAGACGTGGAGTTCATTAGGACCAGATTACGTGTTTACCTAGAGGCTGGAAGAGACAGCTTTTAGTGTTTGTGGTCTGCAAACATGTGCAATCTAACAGGAGGATTCCCAGGAACAGCTTCAGCTTTAAAGTGTCTGCAGTACCTTGAGAAAATGTTTCACATTTTGTCACATTTTAAGAGTACATCTATGTTAATTTAATAGAATTTTAGGTCATAGACCGACAAGCAGCTTGACATGAATACAAAACGAAAGGGAAATGATCCATACAGAAGATAGTGCTCTTTGGGTCGGATGATGTGTCCATGGGTGAGAAACTTCACCCACATTGTTTACTGCTGCTGGTCAGAGGGTCCAGTGGTACCTCTTCACGGCAGTCTTGCTTCGGTCAGTGAGCCCCATGGCAGCAGTGGCTAAAATGCAGCTAGCATCCACCATTGGTGTGAAAATGTTTTCATCAATAGTTGAATAACTGATTGCAGTATATGGCGTTTTGGAGTCCTGTGAATTAAAAAAGGCTCTATAAAAGAACAGGCCTTTTCTAGTTTCCTTGTGGATTATTTCTGTAGTTGCTACAGGGTTTTGGGGTATGTCTCTGAATGATATTTCAGTCTGATTTTCTTTGCTTATTGTTTTTGCAATGTGCATTATATTTCTAAATGTACTTCCTTGTCTACTTTTACTCACATATGATTGTTTATTTCCCTTCCATTTTCTTCAGGTTTATCCTCGGTTGTGTCACGGAGGCAGCAGTCTAAGCAGGGATGCCCAGACTTCCTGATCCACACAAACCTCATCCAGGGAGATCACATTGTGACATTTTTAATTCTCAAGGTTAAGTATAATGTTATCCCAACGTGAGAAATTATATACTTTAGTTTTCTAAAAGCTTTCCACAACAAATAGTAGTTAGTGTTCACGTCACGTATCATAATGTAATTCTAGAGGTCCAATTTTTGCGGTTAAAAGCTCTGCTTTATCCATCAAAAATTACTTTTATGGGGCATAGCTCGCAATATTGCAGACCAGTTAATTTCATTCATCCCTGTCCTTGTCACTTTTTGCTCTGGAGTGCAGTCATGCAACTTTACACAGTGTACATTTTAGTCAGGCATAAGAGCACCCAAATGATTTGCATTGCATTTATTATATGGCTTGGATACAGAAGCTTGGTAAGAGAAACCAATTCATTTATGCTGCCTCTGCACTAGTTTTTAAGTAATCTGAAGAACACATCAAGCTTGCCTCTGCACCTTTGGTGGCAATCTGTGACTTTGTCTAACCAGTATTGCACCCATACCAATATAAGGCAGGGCCCCGATCTAGCACAAAAATGGTGGCATCAGTATCGGCGAGTACCAACAAATAGGGCACCAATTCCATTTTGAGAGCCAAAGGTTTATTCAACTATTGTCACCCATTCCAGGTAGGCAATAAAAAGTTCTACTGGATTCACTTTGTATTAGTCTTTTTCCTGCTTCACAAAGGTAGGCATCAGCTTGACAAAGTCATAATGGCAATTATTTTACATCCAAGTGGTATGCAGTTCTTCATAAATACACACACACATCAATTTCAAACAGATGGTATCGGTATCGGCCAATACTGCACAGCCAGGTATCGAGGCCAAAAAATGGCAACACTAGTCCTAACCTCTGTGGCTTAATTTCTTTGATCGCTCTAACTTTGTTGGAATATTTAGTTTACTTTAAATATGAAGGACATTTTAATGAATGTATCATCTGTCCAGGTGGTATCCCATAACTATCATTCTGGTATTCACTTAGTTTCTATTAGCGACCCCTTCTTTTACAAAGTAGGTCGAGGTAAGCTGTGGGTGTGGAATTGATTGGGAAACCTGAATCCAGTGGTTTGGATGGGTGAACAGTACAGTTTTGCTCAAACTTAGGTGCCCAGTAAAGCACCTTCTCCATATGTTTGCTGTTTCGAACAACGCTAATTTAATTTATAGCTGATTCTTAGCTGATTAAAATGCTTTTGTAAAACAAGTTAAGCTCACCACCACACACAATGTTCTAATAAAAATGTATCAAGATGTGTAGCATCAAAACAAAATGTGGCAGGAAAATGTTCATTGTATGGTTTGTGGCAATCTGCTAACAGGAGATTTTATAGATTTCTTCTTTCTTCTCTTCAATAAAGGAAATATTTGTAGTATGCAACTCCAGGTATGCTGTCAAAAGAGTTCCAGACGAGAGATGCTGATCTCTCCACCTGTTACATAATCTGTTACAGTTCTACAGATCCTCTTGGCTGCATAATGACTGAACAATCATCCTTAAATCATCTCTCATTTCAGACCCATCTACTGGTTCCTCTGGTTTATATCCTTGTTTTATATCCTTTATATTCCTTTTTCTCTTTTGTTCTATATCAGACTTCTAACACTTGACAGAAACACAGATATTCTGACTTAATGTACTGATTTGGTGTTTTCTTAATGCAACGGGTTGTGTTTGCCTTTATTAAGAGGTATTGGAGTAAAGGAATTGAATACAAATTTGATCCTCAATTTTCTATTGTTTTTTTTTTCAAAATATTCAAAAATTGCAAATGCATTTTCTTCTCATTTACAACCATGCACTACTTTGTGTATAGCAGTTTGTGGTTTTAGGGTTACAAAATGTTAAAAAAAAAATAAAGGTTTGTGAATATTTTGTACTGCAATTATCATCTTTTACTTCCACTTATTGATGAGGTGGAACAGTTTGCCATGAAAAAAATGTTTGATGCTTCCTTTTTATTAGCAGTGCATTGGAGATTTTACACACAGCCAAATGTGGTCAAAACAGATAAAATGCCACAGATCACATTAAGTTTTCTAAAGCTGGAATGGCCTGAAATAAAGAAGAGAGCCACAGGAGCTTCCAGCCACCACCTAGAGAGAGTCCAGGCAGAGAGGAGGGGCCTGGCTCCGGGGTTTAATGTAGCTGATTGTGTTCCCATGAAAAAAGGAACAGTTTCTTCTGTGTTAATTTTCAATTTTGTTTCTGTATGTGTGCCCAGCTTTTGTGTTCAGTTCGTCTTTCCCTCCTAAAAGCCACCCCCCTTTACACACCCCTTCTCTTTCACCTCTCTCCTCGTCAGCCCGTCTAGATTATGTTGCTAAGGAGATTTTTCTCTTTTCTTCCCTTTTTTTTTCTTTGCTTTTTTACTGTTTCCCATTGATTTGGTGTTAATGCGTTTTGAATGCCCCTTGGTGTGTGCCGAGCACTGGGGGAGGGAGGGGAAGGACGGGGTCTAGCTGAGTGGAGGAATTTGAATCTGAAACGGTAAGGTTGGGGTCCGTTTGGGTTAAGGCCTAAAGAGAGGCACTCAAGTGAGAACTGAAGTGGTTTGCAGAGCTAAGGAACCTCTCGGCTAGCTGCTCCCCCCTCTTCTTCCCCTTCTTTCTTTTTAGGGTCACCCCTTTACAAGCAGCCCACAGGTGCACTGTCAGTCTTTCCTTTTCGTATCCAAACCAAACCCATGAGCAAAACAAACATATTATTACCCTCACTGAGTAAAATAATCCCAGCAGATTGCAGACCAAATTAGGTAGTTCAGTTTGTGATAGAGACGTAGAAGCTTCTTTTACACTCTATTTTCTAGCTCAGGCTCTAGTAGTATTTCATGTTATCATATTCATGTTCCCTTCACGTTTCACCAATAACAACTCCTAAGCAGAGGTGTCAAAAGTATCAATCTATATTACTCAACTAGAAGTTTAACTCTTACTGTTTACCGGGCTTTTTAGAAGTTACAGTATCCAATTAAGCATTTTACTAAAGTAAAAGTGTAAAATTATCATTTTTAAAATTACATAAAGTATAAAATAAAACTAATGCAGGAAAAATGTTTAAATATGCAAACGTTTTGTCCAGATAGGATTTCTGAGGTGAAGAAGATCTAAAAATATAACATTGGAGAAAATGCTTTTATTTTTCAAGAATTGAAAAATAACATGCAGTGCAAAACTGCTTTACTTTAGATAGCTCTGGTATTCAAAGTCGTAGGGAAGTCATATTTAAATTTATTGAAATGTAATTTCCCATTGGTAACCTACTAGCAATAAGTTGCTAACTGGTTAGCAAGACGCTTCCGACAAACCAGCCACAACCAAAAAGCTTGCAAACCTTCCACCACAACAATACCGCCCCCTTGATAAACGACCAATCATATTCACTTTATTCACTCGGGAGAATTCGGAAATGCAACGGTTGGAACAGTTTCCCTACGACTTTAAAAAATAAAACTATTTTGAGTGACAGTGTATGCGTGGGACTGAAGGAGGGGTTCACCAAGGCCGCATTTAATGTAGGAAATTATCTATTTTCAAAGAATTGTTTATTCTGAACAGAGTATTTAAAAACAAAGGCACAAAGATGTTTTTAATTTTATTAGTTATTTTCAATTTAGTAAGTTCAATTCAGTAACAAGATGCAATAGGAATTTGTGTTTCTTTTAAAGAAACTAAAATTGTCTGTCCAGATAACTAAAAAAAGCATATTATGCTTACACCAAAGAATGTGTATTTGTTTTGTTTTATGGTTACAGATGTATTGTGGTTGTATAGAGGCTTATGCATTAAGATATATCAGCACATGAGTACAAATATTTAATAAAACTAGCATTAAAGCTTCAAGAGTTTATTTCAGAATCATGAGTATGAATCATAGAAAAGCAGCAGTGGGATTAATAAAGCGGCAGTATCGATTTGTGTCCCCATGGCATTTAAAACAACACCAGATTTAGAACACCGAAAGCAGTAAGACATTTCTTCTACTAAAGGAGAGTGAAGTCCCTTTCTACTTAGCTGTCTGTGACCGTGACTGGGACAGAGGATGGAAGAGCCTAAGCAGTGCACGAGACGGCAGGACAAGGAAAGCAGCAGCATCGACGGACCTTGTCCACATTGGTTTACAGTGATTTCCCTGAGCTCTGTGTTAAATTGGTATATAGCTCAAATCCTAAGTAGAGATATGATGTAACTAAAAACCAATTTCATGTCAGACCTGTGTCAAATTTATATCTCAATTTTTCCGACTAATCCTCTCTCAAACTTTTATCCACAGGGTGAGCCTAAAACTCAGTTGTACTTTATATATTCAGCCTGTTTTACTCTTAACTTTTTATACTTGGTTCAACTGTGTCTCCCTCCTGGTTTTATTGATTGACTTTGCTGAAGTCTGAAGTTTTGAAGCCGCAAGTAAACATGAACTATATTCTCTCTCAGTAAAAATGTGATTTTCCTTGTTTCCACCCAGAATGCAGCTTTGGGTGTGTTTGCCTATTTCGTGATGGAAATGGTAATGAAGATGGGGAAAAATCCATCCATCCATCCATGTTGTTTTTCCCTCAATAGAGATGCGCAGGCAGTTGTCCATTCTGTGTAAAATCCTGCCCATGCTTGCAAACATCTTCGTGTTTTGGTTCATCCTCTACACATTTGCCAACATTGGAATCCAGCTGTGGGCGGGGGCACTTGCACTGTCGCTGTTTTTTTGAAGAGAACATCCCCCAGTAAGAACCCTCCTTCGTTCTTTGGGCTAAATTAACTCTGCTGGAAAATATGCAGTCAATAAAGGTAGTTATTCATGAGTATATAATTTCCCTGGGTTTCTCCCCAACATCTCAAAAGATCACACAAGAATTAAAACAACCTATTAACCAATTAAATTAGATAAATCATTAACTTGATAATCTTTGATTTATTTGCATAGATAATATTTATTTCAAATTATGGAAATAGATCAGTGCATATATGATGTGTTAGATAATATATCAAATCAATAATTACCTATAATAAAACATTTTTTTACGATTTTAATTCAATGAATTTTAAAAATGAAATTATCATGATTTCTTTTTTAAAATAATGTCAGGGTTTCATACTCTGTTACAGTCTATACTAATTTGTTTGATTGATGAATCATAAACTATTCATTAGTATTTGTTGTAGCATTAATAAAAGACACGTGTTACGGGTTTTAATTTGTTATTTTGTGTTGCAGGTGGAATCTCCGTTTCAAGCAGAACATTAGAAGACAATCAATGGCGAGAGCAAAACAGAATTTCCAGCAAGAGTTTTTTATCTCCTACTAATGACGGCTTGCCTATTCTATTTCTTTCCTTCAGAGACAGCTGCTGGTGCTGAACAAGGTCATAAAGGATGTGGCTGTGCTCTTCTTGCTGGTCTTCTATGGGATTTTCATCTACAGTACAGGTAATACACTAACACATATTGCTAAGTCTAGTATAAGATGGATGAGTTAATTTCACTTCCATCTGGTGTGTCCCAGCAGCGTTTTAGGCATGAACCTTTTCAGCTGCAGGTTTAAGATTTGCACTTGAACCCTGTTGATCCAAGAAAGAACTTTGACTCCCTCCTCTGGTGCTCGGTCACTGTGTTGCAGGTCAGGCTCTGACATGAAGTTAAATCTATCTGTCTGTCTGTCTGTCTGTCTGTCTGTCTGTTTTTTTTTAGGTTTTGACTCAAGAGGACTGGAATTATGTCATGTACCATAATTGTTTAAAAACTATAAAAACCTACATCCTCAGTTTGCATTTAAGATAAAAAAAAACCTTTTGGTCTGTTAAAATTAGTCATCGAGAACTCCACAAATGGAAAAGTCAACCACTGGACTTTGTTTTCAATGTTTGAAGATGTTTCACATGCTGGTGAAGATTCTCAGTCATCCAGGTCATAGTCATTCCGTAAAATTTTAAAAAACAGTCCACTGGACTTGGTTTGAAGACGTTTTGTATAACAGTAGAGGAAAAACAGAAAAAAAGGAGAAATGATGAAAGAAAGAGGAGATAAAAGGGAGATAATGATGAAACATTTTCAGTCTGCTTCATCACCCGCAAAGAGATGTAAAAAGAACAGCACAACTAACGGACATGGTATGAGACATACAATAAAGTAAAACCTAGATACTATCGCTGAAGTATAAGTAGTATTATTTAATCTGACATGTGCTCTGTGTTACCTGAAGATAAGAATATGGGCCTCTGTATAGATCTGAATCTCTAAGTACCCAGAACCAAGCACCTGTAGTTATTTGTGAGAGTGCACTTGTGCATGTAAAGTTTATCCAAAGGAAAAATGCTCAATATTGGTTGTGGAGAGCCAAAGAGGCGCCCCTGAGAACACTGAGTCCAGCGCCGGGAGACCCAAAGCCCCAGACGCCCAAAGGGACCCAAAGAGCAAAGGCACCAAGGAGGGGCCAACCCAGGAAATCCAACCCCAACCAAGGGAGGAGGAGAGACAGCCCAGAGGAAGTTGCCCCAGCCATCGCAATGCCGGAGTCCCCGGGAGCATTAGCATTGAGTTCCAGGCTTTATAGAGTAGCTCAACAAAGCCTTATTATGGCTTAGAAAACATGCAAATTGAACGAAATGAATTCAATTGGAGATTTGATTGGAGAAATTATTCATTGCTCCAGAGAACATGCCTCCAGTGCTCTAAAGGTCAGTGGTGATATATTTTGGACCAATACGTCCAGTATTTTGCATTTAACCTCAAAGCGTGATTAAAAAGACCTCATAGAAAATTTGTATAGGGAGTTGAAATTTTTGTTGCCTAGCAACAGCTCATAAACATCACTGCTCGGAGTTGAAGTGAATGATTAACACTTAGAGAACCCTCTCATTTTTCTAAAGTTGTGCAATCAGTGGCTGACTAAATACACTTTTGCTCCACTGTATTTCAGTGATTTATACGTTTTTTACTTACGTACATACAAATGTCATTTCCCCCTGCATAGCTGTAGACATTAAACCTCTCTGTGTTTTCCAAAAGAATCATGATGACAAAAGGCTGCAGGCAGATTATCCATGGAGCAGCAGAGGTCTCACAAACTCCAGACATAGTTACGGTGAAATCAGTGGAGCACCCACCACATTTATTAAGTTTGTGCCACACATGTTTTCCCTCTGTTCAGGTCTTCCTTATAGACGAAGCTGGCCTGACTTGAGGGGCTACAGCCAGAGCTACAAGGAACTACGCTCCTGCAGCCATGGCAAAAGAAGAAGGAGCCCCAGTTGCAGCACCATCCACTGTTAGACGGATGCACATGGCAGAATACTGCCCCACTCCGTACCCTGACAACCTCAACATTTACTCCATTGTATAGTGTTCCCTTCCTGTGTTTAGGCAAATACCAAAATTTCTCTTATTTTTCTCCTTAATTGTTGCGTATCCTTTGAAATATCTCTGTGTAGGGGAAACCCCAACCCCCCTCTTACCCATCAAAAATGACCATTTAATTTTTTTTCTTCCTCCACTGTATGTAATTTTGCATTTTCTCTTTGCTTCAAAAAATGTTATCAAGGGTTTTGAAGTTGAAATATAACATTATTTTGCTTCTGGTATCTTGTCTTTGTTAATTTGCGGGGTGGGCTGTTTGGAAGTTGCTGTTCCTAGAGGATCCAAGCTTGGAGGAAAAAAGGGAGTCTGGTGGGGGAGGAACAGATTCTTTTTTTTTTTTTTTTTTTTTTTACATAATTAACATATAAGGAAAGCACAATATCTCACTATTAATTCAAAAATATCTTTTTTTGAAGCATGTTTGTCCATCTTGGTTTAAGTACAAAATTATTTAACTAGAAAATTGACATTGTTTTTTTTTTTTATAAACAGTTATGTAGTTTTTTTCTAAAGAGATATATAAATCATGGGCAGTATGTACATGTAGTACATATTAGTGTAGGCCTATGACAATAATCAACAAATTATTGACAAATTTAATTGTTTGCACTAATTTCTGTTTTCATGATGTTGTTTTTTATTGTGTCTTCCTTTCTTTCTACATTGAGCTTCTAGCCAAAGACAACCTGAAAAGCAGATACAAACTGTTGTATTTTGTCTTTGTTTTACCACTGATAGTACAGGAATACTTCTTTATATTGGGAGTGCCATACAACACACTGGTTGGGTGAGAAAAACTTTTTCCATGATTCAGCCACAGAAGATGGATCAGGGATGGATAAGAACACAGGGGTCAGGAGAATGTCGGCGAAACACTATAAACATTGTCGCCACATTTTAAAGTTACATTGAAATAACATTCACTGGATGTATTAGTTACTTCTGTGAAATAAGTTTGAATATTTATTTTAATAATTATAAATCAAAGCTCAGAGAGAAGAACTGATATAGGTAAAATTTTGTAAGGAAGATAAACTGCCTGACCTTCACCGGGAAAATGGTTCTGATGTCTTAAATCAAAGAGACTTAAAAATCTTTCTTTTCACTGAAACTGTGAAGACAGTCCCCCCCCTGCTGTCAGACTCTCACACCTCCAACCCCCTCAACCCCCACTAGGAGTGAGGTTTAGGCCCCGTCCACACGAAGATGAACCCTGGCCTAAACGCACACATTTTTCACCAAACCAGCCTCTCATCCACACGAAGCCGGCGTTTCGGGGGTCTGTAAACGATCATTTTTTTATTCAGCCTTCAGAGTGGGAAGATTCTGAAACGCCGTTTTCGCATTTCCATCTTTACGCCCTAACCGCATATTTTTTTTTACACGCATGCGTCATAGCGTCGCCTCTACACACGCATGCGCGACCAGTATCACAACAACAATGGCGCCGTTGCTAATGCTACTCACCCTGCTGTCGGGCTTACAACAGAATCTTCTTCTTCTGGAATATCTCCAGGAAGAACAGAGCAATATCGACGACATAGTTCAGCACCTGAATTTCACTTCACCACGAAAATGGAGCCGCAGGGCAACCATGTATAAATATTAGTGCACATGCCCAACATTTCGTCGCTTATTTTTGCTTTGGCACCACAGCGCCACTTACAGGCCTGGCATACATTTTGCAGCGTTTTCATGCATTCGTGTGGACGCTCACATTTATTTTACGTCTCCGTCTTTACGGCAAACGTTTTGGAAAATATCAGCGTTTCGTGTTCGTTTTGGCTTCGTGTGGACGGGGCCTTAGATACACATGGAGACTACACATGCAGTCTCCCTCCTGCAGCTATTCACTCTCACCTTCACATACCACCCCCCACACACACCATTCCATGACTTCCATTCATTTCTATTGCCTAACCCAGACCCTCACCCTAACCATCACTAACATATTCCTAACCCTAACTTGAATTGAGCTCCTCAGACCTAACCCTAACACCAAACCCACTAAGATCATCTTTGGACCAGTTAAGTAGTCCCGATTAGTACCTATTCAGTTTCTTCCCCACTGCCATTAGACTGCTGAAAATGTTGTGTAAAATTGGTTATTTTATTTATAAAAAAAATAATTTTAGAACTGTAAATATACAGAAATATGTTTATATTACTATTTTTTTATGTATTTATTACTGTTTTAAAGGCTGCATTTTAAAAAATGAACTCGTCTAGAGTTTTTTTTAAACGAAATTTCTTGTGTGTACAAATTGACAAAATAAATCTGTCTCTAAATCTACCTGTAAGTCTCCAAAACTAGGATTTCCCTAGGACATTAGGCTTACCCTGTCCCTGCCATGTAACAAAAATAACTCCACCCCAAACCCTTACTTGGACATACAGACACAAGCTCAATTCATGGACTTTCACAAGCTCCACTTTATATTTTTTTAAATATTTTTTTCCAAGGATGTTTTACATCTTCAATAAGAGAATAGACTTTAAAATCCTTCAGTTAGTCTATAAATCACTGAATGGATCAGCACCTCAATACATAAGATATTTGTTGTTAGTGTATCAACCTCTCAGATCACTCAAGGCAAGGCAAATTTATTTGTATAGCACAATTTAGTACAAAGACAATGCAAAGTGCTTTACATGATTAAAATACAGGAAGATAAAACAGAATCAAAGCAAGTAGGAAAAAAAATAAAATAAAAAAAATAAATAAAAAACAAAAAAGAAATAAATAAATAAATAAAATAAAAAATGCAGAAACAAAAAAACAATATTAAAAACAGTTGGATTAAAGAAAACATGTTTTTGTTGAACTGTTTAACTAGAATAGTCGAAGGCAATCCTAAACAAATGTGTTTTTAGTCTTGATTTAAAGGAACTCAGGCTTTCCGCACTTTTACAGTTTTCTGGAAGTTTGTTCCAGATAAGTGGAGCATAGGAACTAAATGCTGCTTCTCCATGTTTAGTTCTGGTTCTAGGTATGCAGAGCAGGCTGGAGCCAGAAGACCTGAGTGGTCTGGAGGGTTGATACACTGATAGCAAGTCTGTGATGCATTTAGGTGCTAAGCCATTCAGAGATTTATAGACTAACAGAAGTATTTTAAAGTCTATTCTCTGAGATACAGGGAGCCAGTGTAAGGACTTTAGAACCGGAGTGATGTGCTCTACTTTCTCAGGTGTTCTACTTCCAGCCTACTTTGTACACCCAGACCTAGAACCAAACATGGAGAAGCAGCATTCAGCACTGATCTAGTACAAACTTTCAGTAGACTGGAAAAGCCCTGAAAGCCAGAGTTCTTTGAGTCAAAGTTAAAAACCCATTTGTAGAGAACTGCCTTTGAAGCTAAACTGAGGTATCATCAGTTTCAGGCTGTGGTCCAACTGTTTTATTTTCGTTACTCCATACATTCAATTCAATTCAGTTTATTTATATAGCGCCAAATTCACAACACATGTCATCTCAAGGCACTTTACAGTTCAACCAGATCATACAGTCAAATTGATACAAAGTTTTCTATCTAAGGAAAACCAGTTGATTGCATTGACTCATTGACTCATATACAATCCCTCACACTAAGCATGCTTGTAGCGACAGTGGAGAGAAAAAAACTCCCTTTTAACAGGAAGAAACCTCCAGCAGAACCAGGCTCAGTGCGAGCGGCCATCTGCCGAGGCCGACTGGGATTCAAGGAGACAGAAGCAGAGACACAAAAAGCAGCTGTAAAAGGCGGCCCCGTCCTGGAAACACACAGCCAGGCAGATGAGCTCCGAGCGAGCTTCCATGCCAGAGGACGAAGAGAGCACATCCACTCAGTCACGGTCAGAGAAACAGGACCACACTGGAAAACAGGCCGATCTCCAACATCTATAAACAAGGGTGTTGGTGGAAGCAGCACAACTGATGTTTCTTTCCAGGATGACGTCACAGCCAAACAGGAACAGACGAGGCAAAGCTACTCTGAGGAAAAGCAGAGAGAGCAGAACGTTAGAGATTGAACTAACAGATTCTGCAGAATAGGAGAACAGAGAAAGAATGAAGCAGAATGATGAAAAAGGGGTCCCTATGTCCTCCAGAAGTCTAAGCCTATAGCAGCATAACTATAGAGATAACTCAGGATAACCTGAGCCACCCTAACTATAAGCTTTATCAAAAAGGAAAGTTTTAAGCCTAGCTTTAAAAGTAGACAGGGTGTCTGCCTCATGGACTAAAATTGGTAGTTGGTTCCACAGGAGAGGAGCTTGATAACTAAAAGATCTGCCTCCCATTCTACTTTTAGAAATTCTAGGAACCATTAGTAAACCTTCAGATTGAGAGCGAAGTGCTCTGTTAGGAACATAAGGAACAATCATGAATGGACATCTCTATCTATCTATCTATCTATCTATCTATCTATCTGTCTGTCTGTCTGTCTGTCTGTCTGTCTGTCTGTCTGTCTGTCTGTCTGTCTGTCTGTCTGTCTGTCTGTCTGTCTGTCTGTCTAATGGCTGCTCACACTGAGCCTGGTGCTGCTTAAGGTTTCTTACTGTTATAAGGGCCATTTTTTTCTCCACTGTCACTGCATGCATGCTCGGTGTGAAGGATTGCTGCTTAGCAAAACAAATACCATCTGATATCATTGCTGCAAAGTTATCAAGATGGAGTGTGTCTTGTAAGTCAATGAGTCAATGCAATCAGCTAGTTTTCCTTGATAGAAACTTTTAACCAATTTGACTGTATAATTTGTTTGAAATGTCTCTGTAAAGTGCCTTGAGATTATGTGTTGTGAACTGGAGTTATAAAAATAAACTAAATTGAATTGATGAAGTTGAATTTTATTTCTCTTTTAGATATGGAAGTTCCATCACCTGTTGCCAGTTTTACATTTTGGATTACCATCAACTGCAGAAGTGAAGTTGCTGTTGTTTCCTAGTCCTGCTGCCTTGGTTTTTATGCTTACTTCAGTGTCTT